TCTTATCTAAACTTGAAGAAGGTATCCCAGCTTTCTGCTTCATACACTGGCCATAGCTTCTCTATTTTTAAATAGACAATCTCTAGAAAGTTAATTTAATAAAACACCAAAAGAATGCCAGAGGAAGCACTTCTATAAGTGCTTTTGTTAAAATAAGATACTGTATATTTATATTTAAAGTATATTATTAGCATTGTTCAGTTGTTAAATACTGTAACTCACAACCATAATTTCCAACTTTTTGGACTGGTGGACCACTATTAGGATACAAAGTTTCTAACATATGATTATGATCTCTGTGTAAAGTTTGATAAAAACACCTTATTGAGAACACTTTCTAACATGGTTCAATGGAACACATGCAGATGGTTTCTCCTGATCTTTTAGGCCACCACCAAGGTGCACGTCACAGCTTAGATGTCACAAGGCATTTGCTATAGTGGCAATGGCAGCAATAACACATTTGTTTCAAAGATGGATTCAAAATAGTAAAGAGAAGTGAATGTATCAACTTTGACACCTCCTTCTCTTCTAGAATTTTGCCTATTTGCATCCTCTTTTCCCTCTACCAATAGAACTTTAGCCAAACTATATAAACATGACATTTGGTCTAGCCACATCACAAGAAAGTGTCAGTCATTCCCACACCTGAAAACTCGTTGGGTTTCAGTACACACTTCTGAAGAGAGAAGGTCATACTCTCCACTGTGGTTTGCTGATCTGTTCTTACTTCCTTGACATCAGGTTTCTCTCTATCATCACCTTTTTTTTCTTCTGGACAGCAGTCTTCCAGACTGCCTCTTTGATGACTACCTGCCAAACTGACAGGTGAATCAACCTATGAAATGCAAATTATTACCATAAAAAAAGAAATCGTTGGGAGGAAGAAAAAGATAATCACAATAATCACACACTATCACAAAGGCTGACAACGACTCTATACAAGACGGCATTTCCTGACACTGTGGGGGCTCCTAGCATCCCAATCTCTCACTCATACTACATAGTTTTTTACAGTCTTTGAAGGGCTGAAAAGCTTATGCTTAATTCATCAGTTTCGAGATGGCCATTTCCATGCAGTAGCCTATGATGTTTAGGTCAGAACTTGGATTCAGAGTTGCCTGATGTTAACCTTAATACCCAACTGTAAACCTCTAAAAAATGTATTTTAATACTTCTGTGAAGCATCTAGGTATGATGCCATTCTACAGACAGGTGAACAGAGGAACAATACAATTGGACTAATTGGACTAATCTAAATTCTCTAATTCCCAAGTTCCACTTCCAATCTAATTCTCTAATTCCCAAATTCCACTTCCTACATCCCAACAAACATATCACATATCCCATTCACAAAATTAAGTTAATCCCTAATATTAATTTTAAGGCAGATGATGGATGAACACCTACTTCTGATGGACTTTGTTGAATCCTTGGAGCTGACATAGTTCTTGGAACACTATGAGTTCATTTTTTTTTAAACTTGATTCAAACAAATCCTGAGTGAGCCTTGTAGACAATAATTCAACTTGTGAGGATTGCTCAAGCGTTTTCTTTTAATAAGCAAAATATTTTTTATTCCAACTTCAATTTAAAAGCATAAATGGGATGGAAGTGAAATTATGCAAATATTGGCTCATGCATCAACAGCCTATAGCCGTATATCTGCAAATTACTGCCAGAATTTCAAATGTTTTTCCTTAAAATAGAATTTATTTAATAATCTAATTAAATATAAAGAGGAAGACAACCAAGTTTTCCAGGTTGTACTGCCGAATAGTCCTATTTGTGGCAAATACAAAAGTAACACATATTCAGAGAAGTGAAATTAAACATCATTCCATGCATGCATAAAGAGTAGCCCACATTCATTAACATAATTTGAAATAACCCCTTAGCACAACTGCAGAGCCCAGAACCCTATGTGAAGCTACAAAAGCAGAATCTTATTTCTTTGGCATTCTACTAGGCTTAATTAGGCATAGAGTTTCTAACCCACTGAAGGTGAAAAGAATTACCTTTGGCAAATGTGGCTCTGGTGTTAATAACTCCATAGCTGTATTTAAAGATCTACAATTAGCATAAGCTCTTGAGCTAGTTGCAGGCCTTGAAATTTTATCCAAGCTCCCCCTTGTAATATCCATTGTGACCTAAAACTGGAAAAAAACCCCATAAACAACCTTCCAAACTATCAGTTTCATAATACAGCAACATATGCCCAGTAATATTTCAGATGCAGGTGAAACAAGTTTCAAATCCTTTCTATAAATTCAGTGTTGAGAGGTCCTTCCAGTATAGAGCACCTTGCCACTCAGGTATGCACTTTTTAATATATGTACAAATATGTATTTATATCATCAAGCCAACCAAAGTATTAAAACGTGTTTCCTGTCAAAAAGACTTCAAATAGCATAAATCTTAAAAGTAGTTTCACAACAAAGGAAATGTCATGGCTCCTTTTTTTTCTTTTTTTTTTTTTTAAAGGACTGGGAAAGTTAGCATCAACAAAAGAATGATGGTATTTTATAGAAATGCTTAGAGTGGAAGCAGTATGAGAAGAGGCTGAAGCTGCTTGGTTTGTTCAGCCTGGAGAAGAGAAGACTGAGAGGAGACCTCATTGTGGTCTCTAATTTCCTCACAAGGGGAAGAGAAGGGGCAGGTGCTGATCTCTTCTCTCTGGCCACCAACAATAGGAGCAGAGGAAATGGCAGGAAGATGGGCCAAGGGAAGCTTAGGCTGGACATTAGGAAACGGTTCTTCTCCCAGAGGGTGGTGGAGCACTGGAACAGGCTCCCCAGGGAGGTGGTCATGGCACCAAGCCTGGCAATATTCAAGAAGTATTTGGACAATGTCCTCAGACACATGGTCTGAATCTTGGGATTGTCCTGTTCAGGGACAGGAGTTGGACTGATGATCCTTGTGGGTCCCTTCTAACTCACAACATTCTATGATTGTATATCAAATGAAGCAGCCAAAAGGTTTTATATCCAGTAGTTCTAAACGGGGGGAGTTCCCAAATCCAAACGATCACACTCCCAGTCCGAATTCCAGTTTGAGTTTAACAACAGAAGCGCACGGTTCTCTGCAAAACCTGTGTGAGTTCACAGGAATTAGATACCCGAGTACGTGACAGGCACTGCCCGTGTTCACAACGGGTTCCCCTCATCTCCCACTCGCAGCCCAGA